AGGGAGAAAAGTGCGGCAATGAATGAATGGGAATCCAAAACCTCTGTAAATGTCTATTAAAATTAATAATAATAAACAAACAACAAACATCAATATGGCACAGAGCTTCCACACAAGCCACCGTGTGAAGAAATGTGAAACTGAGAAAAGCATAAGGGAATTTGACCTCCTCTTTGCAACCTAATAGAGCAGCAAAGTAGCTCAGTAAGTGCCCTACTTGCTTGCCAGTGAACACGTGGGAAGCTTGTGCTGCGTTTTCTTCATCAATTACTGGGTAGTGAAAACTCAACCTTTACTGATTTGGTCATCATGAAGAACTTCATGGCAGCCAAATAGATTCTCCATTGCTGCCAGTGTCAAGATGCTGATTCTGGCAGGAGGAGGCAGCAAGGTGTGGCAACCATCCCAGGAACCCGCCTCTCCCTCAATTCGAATACCTGTGGCCTCTCTGCCATTGGCCTCCAAATTCTTCTTTGCCATCTGTGGTTTTATAGCAGCATCTCCGTTTTCTTCATGTCCTTTCCTGGGTCGCTGTCGAGCTTTAGCAGCTTCCTTCTTTTTGGCTGCCTTTTTCTTGGCCAGATCAGAGGGCATGGTGATGAACCTTTGTGATGTGTTATGGACCTTTCAGGGAGCCTGGAGAAAGGTAAACAGACATACTAAACTCTTAAGAATGCCTCTCCCCTGCTCGGTTCATCTCAGATGTCCCAGGATCCAGCTCCGCCACCGCCTAGTCTCTCCCAAGTTTGTCACCTTCCTTAACGCAATTCCCGAAATCTCGGGAAGTCTCCTAACCTTAACGTCTGTTTTTTCTGGTTTCGTCTATGCAACCCCACACACTGTCTCACTTTGGAAATGATCCTTCTTCCTGGGCCTCCAGAGCCTGGGTTCAGACCTCTGCAAAGGTCTTCGTCTCTGGTTTCCCCCTAACTTGGCTGTCCACACGAGGCCGGCTGCCTCGCTTTGTCAGGCTTTCTTCTAGCTTCTTGAGTCAGGCTTCCTCCCCGGCGGTCCCTCCGCACTACCTAGCTCCCCACCCTGCCGCTTTCCTGGCCGCGATAGCTCTCCCCACGAGGGAGTTCGCCTAAAGTCTCACTCGCCACCCCCGACCCCTCCCAACCCACCCATCGGCTTCTCTCCCCCTTAAGTCATTCTATCCCGCAGCCTCCTCATGCCCTCCGCGCCCCTCTGCCCTCTCCTCCTTCTTCCTTGCCCTCACCGGCTGGCACCCTTCCTCCAGGATCACTCGCAGCGCTCACAGGGCCTCGGCGCTCGGCTTCTGTCGCAACAGAGATACCTCCTCGGCCCTCCGCGTGCGGCCGGCTCTCCAGCCAATCACGGCCTCAGGCGGCTCACGACTCGACTCTGCGAAGACTCCTGGGAAGTGTCGTCCCCTAATCCAGCGGCCCAGACCTAAACCGGTTGCTTCCTCGGGAACTACGAGGTATCCCAGGAGCCTTCGGTCCTTCTGACGTCATAGGAATGCGCGATATTTTGGAGTCGCAAGTCTGAAGAGCTCGGTCCCCAGACTGACTTTGAGCCTTAGAAACGGCAAATCCCAGATTGCTCCTCGGATAAGCGGGTTGGGCCTTCTGTTCGCCACTCTACTTGCTACAAGCTGTTGCGTTATGTGACATATACTGAATTGATAGGGCCACCGGCTCAGCGTAAGACTGCAGTGAAACTACATTTCCCAAAATGCCGCACGGGAAATGGATCCACCCAGTGGGGGCGAGGAGAGGCCAAAGGAGGACAAGAGGAAGGAAGAAGAGAGGTGGCCAGGGAGAGACAGAAGGCATCACAAGAAAGTGTTGACAACACAATTCCTCAGTGATAAAAGGCATATCCATTTAATGAAGCCTAACTTTTAGAGGCTGATTTAGTGTTAACCAAACTTGTAGACGCGTTTGAATGCTCTTTTTTAACCATGTTTACTTAAAAACGTTAGATTTCAAACGTTGTAATGGGTAGAACCTTTATGTAAAACACAGTAGCAACATTTTTAATATTAGTAAGGCCTCCTTTGAGGCTTATTGCGACAAGAAAGCAATAGGAAAAGAACTTTTTGTATGCCCTGAATTAACTAGTTGAAACTAACATTTTTAAAAAATAACGTTTTACAAATTCTTTATTGGTTCGCATGTAATCATTCATATATGTTGCATATCATTCATGTACAGTTTTATACAATCATTCATATATGTTTTGTTTTATATAATTCCTATTGATCTATGCCTATTATCACCTTGTCTCTTGAACTCCCCATTGCATCTTTTCTATTCCTTCCATTAATTTCCCCGTTCCCTTTTCCTGTCCTTTTCTTCCCCTTCGCTTTCCTATTTTGACCATTTGTATGTATCTAGCTTTGTTATTTATCGCCCTATTTCCAGTTATGTTCTTAAACAATATTTGTCCGTATGTGACTGAGTTATTGCACTTAGCATAATGCTTTTTAGAGTCACTCAAGTTATACATTATTTTACTATGTCATTGTTCCTTAGCGCAATATTGTATTATTTTATGCTGAGTGGATCTAAAGATTATTGTTCCTGAGTGCTACATATTATTCCATTGTGTCAATGTACCACAATTTCTAGACCCATTCTTATGTTGTCTGGGCTGTTTCCATTTTCTTGCTATTATGTATAATGCTCAACCGTGGATTGAGGTTCAATGTCAAGAAGACAAAGATTCTCATCACTGGGCCAATTGGCAGCATCAAGTTGGGTGGTGAAGAGATAGAGATTGTTCACAACTTTAGTTTGCTTGGCTCCACAGGCAACACTCTTGGCACCAGTAGCCAGGAAATTAAAAGGCATATTGCCAGGGGAAAGTCTGCTGTTAGGGATCTCTCCAAAGTACTGAAGAGCAACGGTGTCTCTCTGGAGACTAAGGTGTGTCTGATACAGGCCATGGTCTTCACAATCAGTTGTTATGCATCAGAGAGTTGGACAATGACCAAGGAGGACAGAAGGAGAATCGATGCCTTTGAGCTTTGGTGCTGGAGAAGAGTATTGAGAGTACCACGGACTGCTAGGAAAACAAACAGATTCATCCTGGAAAGGGTTAAACCGCGAGGCTCCTTGGAGGCAAGGATTCTGGGGCTTCATCTAACATACTTTGGACATGTTGTAAGGAAAGACCGGTGCTTGGGAGGGTGGAGGGACGGCGCAGGAGGGGAAGGCCCTCTATGAGATGGATTGATTCAGTGACTGGGGTAATCGGGATGGGAGTGTCAGAGACAGTGCGATTGGCACAGGACAAAGCAGAGTTTAGGGCTGTTGTACATAGGGTCGCTATGAGTCGCAAGTGATTCGACGGTACATAACAACAACAACAACATGTATAATGCTGCTGTGAATGTAGGTGTACAACTATCCATTAGTCTCAGTTCTGATTTCCTTGGGGTATAATCCTAACAGTAGAATATTTAGGTCATTTGCGATTTCTGTGTTCAGCTTTTTGAGGAAATGCTAAACTGCCTTCCATACTGGTTGTACCATTTTACAATCCCACCAGCAATACATAAGATGTTCAGTCTCTCCACCTCTTCTCCAACATTTATTGTTTGTTGGGTTGTTAAACTTCTCCTGCTACTGGAATACTTCACCAATTTGCATGTCATCCTTGCCGTGGGGGCCACACTAATCTCTGTATCGTTCATAAAAAGTTATTTCTACATCATATTAAAGTACAGTGTTGCGACTGACAGAATAATATCCATACGCTTACAAGGAAGTCCAGTGAATACCACTATCATTCAAATACATGCGCCAACAACAAAAGCCAAAGAGGAGGAATTAGAAGATTTCTACCAACTTTCGCAGTCAGAAATTGATTGAACATGCAATCAAGATGCATTAATAATAATGAGTTCTGGAATGCAAAAGTTGGAAACAGGGAAGAAGCAATGATTTTGTCATTGCAAATACCTTCTATAAGAAACATAAAGGTAGTCTGTACTGTTTCAACTAATGTATGCACAGGAATCAGATCTATTACATCTGTGGAAAGAAGTGCTGGAGAAGCTCAATATCAGCTGTGAAAACTAAGGTGCTGACTGTGGAACCAATGATCAAGTACTCATATGTAAGTTCAAACTAAAGCTAAAGAAGGTTAAATCAGATCCACAGGAACCAAAATGTGTTCTTGAATCTATCCCACCTAAATTTCAAAACCATCTCAGGAACAGGTTTGAGACTTTAAACACTAATGAACGAAGATCAGATGAGCTGTGGGAGGATATCAAGAATATCATCCAGGAAGAATACAGAAGATCATAACAGAGACAGAGGAGGAAGAAAAGACAAAAATAGAAAAAAAAATAGACAAAAGAAGACAAAAATAGATGAAAAAGACAAAAATGTCAGAAAAGACTCAGAATATTGCACTAGAACACTGACAAGCCAAAGCAAAGGGAAGAAATCAAGAAGTTAAGGAACTGAACAGAATATTGCAGAGGACAGCAGAGGAAGACAAAGCAAATTATAATGAAATGTGCAAAGAGCTGGAGTCTGAAAATCAAAAGGGTCGAACTCCCTTGGCATTTCTTAAACTGAAGGAACTGAAGAACAAATTCAAGTTTTGAGTTGCAATACTTAAGGAAGCTTTAGGCAGAATATTAAATGATCAGGAAGCATTAAAAGAAGATGAAAGGAGTATGCAGAGTCACTGTACGAAAAAGAATTAGCTGACAGAATAATTTCATGAAACAACACATGATCAAGAAAGAAGCTATGGTGATGGAGGAAGTTCAAGCTGTTCTGAAGAAATTGAAAAAAAAACAACAACAACAACAACCCAAACCCAAATAAACAAACCCACCAAGGTCCCAGGAATTGATGGCATACCAACCAACTGACATATTTCAACAAACAGATGCTGCCTTGACATGCTCACCAAGTTGTGCCATGAAATTTGGAGGACAATCACCTGGGTAACTGACTAGAAGAGAACCGTATTTGTTACCATTCCAAAAAAGTTGGCCTGACAGAGTGTGGAAATTATCAAACAATATCATTTATATCATATGCAAGCAAGATTATGCTGAATATTATCCAAAAACAACTGGACCAGCATATCAACAGAGAACTGCCAGATGTGCAGGCTGGATTTAGAAGAGGCTGTAGGACTAGGGATATTATAGCTAATGTTAGATGAATCTTGGCTGAAAACAGAATACCAGAGGAATCACTATCTGTGTTTCATTGACTATGCAAATACATTTGACTGTGTGGATCACAATAAACTGTGGCAGACTCTGAGACGAATGGGAATCCCAGAACACTCAATTGTGCTCATGTGAAACATATACTTAGACCAGGAGGCAGTTGTCAGAAAAGAGCAGGGACATAATTCCATAGTTCAAAATCAGGAAAAGTGTATGCCAGGGATGCTCTTACCTCCATACCTTTTCAATCTGTATGTGGAATGGATATCTGGGAGGTTGTGCTCTACGGGGAGGAATGTGGTATCAGGATTGGAGAAAGATTCATCAGCAAACTGTTATGGACACGATACAACCTTAATTGCCAAAAATGGAGAGGACCTGAGACATTGGCTTCATAAGGTCAGGGACTGCAGCCTTCAATATG